CACACACACACACACACGTGAATACACACACTGGTCGGCCGATTATCGGTGCCGATATTAAGCATTTTATGGTTATCGGTATCGATAATTTTCAAAACCAATTTGAATTAGCATTTAAAGAAACAAAATTTTTGTCAGAGACTTTGTTATTCTTAATTTTGACACCAGGCATAAATATCGGTTCAAAATAATATTTCATATATGAACACATAATTTTAATATAGCATTATATATATATATATATATATATATATATATATATATATATATATATATCATTGTTAAGAGCAGTTTAAAATGCTGTTATTGTTATATTTTCATTTAGGTTTTAGTAATTTTTCACATATCATCATCATCACAGTAATAATAATAATAAAAGCTAATTCAAAATACTTCAATAGTATATCAAATAACACTTGTGGGTAGCACTATAGATTTATGCTTTGCTCCATAGCATGTGAAAGTCACTTTGGATAAAATCCTCTGATAAAACATAGCTATGAATATGACAGTTATGACGATAGCCCAACAAACAGGTGCTTTATATAGTTATTTTGGCTGAAATGATTGCATGAACAGGTTTTTGTGGTGCTGTTACATCACAAATCACAGCCTCCGCTGACAGATTGAGTTCAAGAAATAACTTTATCCGATAACAGAAAGGAGGAAATGATCTCGGGTCAACAGAAAAACTTTGTAACTGAGTTGTAATTCCTGTTATGCTCAAACCCCTGGGAAGTATGTGGGATTGGTGATCCTCTGGCTTTCCTCCTGCATAATTGAGCGAATCCGAAGCCTTTCATCATGGATTGGACTCTCTCTCTCTCGCTCGCTGTCTGCAGGTGTTTTCCTTGTCCTCAGGAGGTCCGGCCGAGAGCGTTCACACGTCAGCTGACAGCCAGCTAACCCGCTCTGAATGTGTGAAGTTTCATGTTTCTGCAGGTGTTTTGGACTCTATGGATGCTTGTGTGTAATTTAGAGATGGTTTTGAAAACTTTAAAAAGAGGAATTATCACAGGCAATAGCAACAGACGAGTGAATAGTTGCAGTATTACACACTCCAGATTGCAAGGCTTGATGGGTTGAGAACAATGGACGCTTTTGTTTTATCCAACTGAAGGAGCCCCAGCTGAGCTCACATTGTGCTTTTTACATATGACTGAGAAATAATGGGTAACAGTAATCAGTAAGGTAAGATTTTTGCCAGGGTGTTGCTATGTATTTGCTGTGGTGCTATAAGTGGTTGCTTGGGTGTTCTGGATGGTCGCAATGGAATATTATTTTGTTTTGTGAATAATTAATCAATATATGCAACTTAAAAATAAATAAATAATATATGCAACTTAAAAATAAATAAATAATATATAAATCTCTGAGTATAAATATCTGAAATATGTTATTTACTATATATTTAAATGTATAGTATTGATATAAATGTGTATTAATAAAATATATATTAAAATAAATCTGTTTATTTAACTAAAAATAAAAATATTTAAATTGGAATATATATTATGTATATGATATTTATTAAGTATTAATATAAAGTTAATAAAATATTAAAATACTTTATATATCTGAGAAAAAATACTTTAACTGAAAATAAATAAATAAAATAAAAATAAGTAATAAATTGGAGATGTATTATGTATATTTATTATATATTATTATTATATATTATACAAGCACACAAACACACAGATAGATGGATATATATATATATATTATGTATTAAAATAAAAAATTGAAATACTGTATATATCTGAGAAATTAATATATGCACAATTTTTATCTATGATATATTTTTATATTAATTATTAATTTTATATTAATTATTTTTTATATATTAAAACTATTAAATGCATATTTGTTAAAATGAAAATAAATATGCATAAATATATATTCAGCGAGTCATTTTTGGGTCATGACCCACCATTTGAGAAAAATGGCTGACACGTTTATAATATATTTATGAAATATGAAACAGTATAGCCTGTAAATTGTGAGTTTGCAGGAGTGTGTTTTTAGCACAAGTCCAGGCAGGTAGGCTTCTTTTGTATGCCTGAGTCTGTTAGCAGTCGTGTTGCTGTAGCTTTACGTGTGTGTGTATATATACATTACTGTACAGTATGTATGTGTAGCAGCCAGCCCCTGCTAGGCTAAACACCCCAGCTGCTCTTCAGCACACAGACGAGCCCAGAGGGGGAATATCGACCCTCCACCCCCAACACTGCCCCGCTCCGCTAGCTGTCCTCCCTCAGAAACCAGAGGCTGTCTGTGGAGCGCTGGGGGGATGGGCCGTCTCTGCTTCATCCGATCTGTCGGAATCTCCTCAGCTGTTAGATAACAGCCCCTCACCACATTTCCACATGTGACATGAGACTTTCCCATCTCACCGACGAGAGACAGCCATGCTGCGAGTCATTTAGCTTTTGTTCCCATGCTAGTGACTAATTTTAGTTTTCTATGTATTTTTTTTATTTTTGCCATTTTCCTGGTATTTTCTATGTAAATAAGTCTATAGATATTAGTGCTGTCAAACGATTAATCGCGTCCAAAATAAAAGTTTGTAAATATACTCGGTATATTTATTATGTATATATAAATACTCACACATGCAGTAAATATTTGGAAAATATTTACATGTGTATTCTCCCCTCTTGGGCAAGTAAGTAACCACAAAACACCCAAACACTCAGAACTAGCAACTAGGAGTAATGCTTTGGCATCCACACACAGCCTCTTTTCTTTTGCTTATTTTTTTTTTTATTTCTTTTGTCTTTTTTTTTCTTATCCATATTTCTTTTTTGTTCTTTTTTTTCTGTTTTTTACTTTGTGTGTGTGTGTTTGGCTTTGTTTTTCTTCTATTTATTTTCTTTTGTTTATTTTCTTTTTTGTTTGTTTTGTTTTTTTCCTTTTGTTAATTTTGTTGCTTTTACTTTTCTTATTTTTATTTTCTTGTTTTTTTTTTCTTTTTGTATTTTTTGTATTTTATTTACTTTTTTTCTCGTTTCTGTTTTCTTTTTGTGCTTTCTGGGTATTTGTATTTTTTGTTTTGTTTTTTCTTTTGTGTTTTTACCAATTTTGTGTTTTGGTTGCTACTTTTTCTTATGTTTTGTTTGTTTGTTTTTTTGTTTTTTTTGTTTGTTGCAATGCATTTTCACTAATCCATATTTTACTCAGGAAAAATTAACGTGACTAACTGATGAAACTACAGTTTGTAAACCAAAATATGTCTACTGTAATGTTTGAAGAACGACAGACTAAAGACTCTGTGTCTTAACCTTTAATCAGAATGCAGAACAGCGTTATGAGTCCAACTCTCTAACCATTAGGCCACGACTTCCCCTTTTGAGCACTCAATTGAAAATGTACACCTAACGTAACAATCATACTTACAGATTGTGCTTCGGAAACCGTGAACACATACCCGGAGCAGTGGGCAGCCATTTATGCTGCAGCGCCCGGGGAGCAGTTGGGGGTTCGGTGCCTTGCTCAAGGGCACCTCAGTCGTGGTATCGAAGGTGGGAGAGAGTGCTGTACATTCACTCCCCCCACCTACAATCCCTGCCAGTACGAGACTCGAACCCACAACCTTTGGGTTATGAGTCCTACTCTCTAACCATTAGGCCACGACTTCCCCTTTTGAGCACTCAATTGAAAATGTACACCTAACGTATCAATCATACTTACAGATTGTGCTTCGGAGAGCTTGTTAGTCCAAATTAAGAAGATTAGAAGCCAACAAAGGTAAAAGGCAAAGATTAGAGAAGCAGGCCTTGGTAAAATGACATGCACACAACAAAAGGTTCGATTTGTATTTCTGTGGTATCCTTGAACAGAGTGTCTTCTCAACATGATGTAAACACACTAACTAGCGGAAGTGTTTGTGGGCAGGTCACTCTTCGTATTTCGCGGGCAGGCGGGGATTATGCAAATGTTTTACCCAGAGACATATACCGGTAACAGGCAAAAGATTCGAAAATATGTCGACTCGTTAAGGCGATTCAGAATCGACTCTCTCTTTTGAGAGACAATATCATTATTTATCATGCACTTTTTTGATCAACAACTTTGCAGATTGTTTTCATTTAAGGATAGCTACGTTATAAACTGCAAAAGAGATATTTTTCAAAAACCCATATGACCTGCTCTTTAAGATAACATGTAGAAACAAAAAAAACATCTTAAGTGTGCAGAATAACAGCCCTTATATACATACACACACACACACACACACAGAAAGCGGGTAAAATGGTGTCAAAAAGAGTCAAAGTGGTGAAAAAAGTAATCCAAGTAATCCATACATACAAAGCAAGCAAAACAAATAAGTTCAGAAATTAAGCTCTGTGTTTTTTTTATTTGTTGTATTTATTGATTTAATATTTTATATAAATGCGTATATAAATATTAAATACATATTTAAATATTCACATTTTCCTTTTTATTTATTTTTCTATATTAATTTAATTAATATAGATTCATATTAAAATAATTACTATTGTTTTAATTATATACTATTTTAAATTTGGAATAAACTACTTGAATTTTACTCTACTCCTAGTAATCGGTGTACTGCAAGGTGTTTTGGGTAAAAGCATCAGCTGCCGGTCTGTCTCTTTGCAGGCCTAGGGCATGGGCGGAACCAAGAGTAAACCCAAAGAGCTCGGCCCGCGCTCCCGGAGTCTGGACGACGGCACCGGAGGACACCATCACAGTCCCAACCAGTCATCCTTCACACCCAACCGGAGTCCGCCGGTGGACGGCAGCAGACGCGGCACCCAGCCCAACATCATCAGCGCGGAGCAGGCGCTGTTTGGAGGCGTGAACTCGAACAACAGCATCACGTCTCCTCACAGGGTCGGCACGCTGTCCGGTAATGCAGCTCGGTCTGATCAGCGTCCTTACGCTTCTGCTTTTGCTGACTTTCGGTATTATAGTGTTAACGGATATAGGCCAAGACATCTGAAGAGTGAACTGAAACCGTTTTGTGTGGGAAAATATGCCCTTTATTCACTATAGCACTTTTCAGCACACCTATTTTCTATGTAAATTAGGCTCGTTATAGATTTATGTATATAAAATGATAAAAAGTGCAGACAGTTTTGATGAATTCTGTGTTTAAATCCCATGAATGAGATTCACAGGTAGACCTTTTTTAGCCTTAAGACTAAGACGCCACATCAGACCTTTAATGGACCATCTGATGCATACTGCATACAAAAATAGCACAGGATTTTCCAAACTCCTAAGCTCCGATCTGATTGGCTGCTGTTCCAGGATCTCTGAGAGTTTTGTCTGTCTTTGTGGAAACAAATTGCATGATACCCAGCAATTTCTGTGGAAAACCACTTGCTGGATTTACTACAGTTTGTCCAGGAAATAACTGGCACCTTTTAGGTTTTGATAGTTTGAAATTTTGGCTACAAAGTCTGTGAACATTTTGCATTTTGGTCAGTAATAATCTAAATTATCCAGTATTGTCTATGCAACCATTCTTGGAAACTGCTGCACCATTATTTAAATACGTGTTCAAATATTAATAAGCTTTTATTAATAATAATAGTAAGTTTTATAATGAAGTACATTTTCTTATATGTATTAGTAATAATATTATTATACTATTATAATCAATAGGCCTATATTATGATTTTTTTATATTATTTATTTTAATTTTAAACTTTAGTAGTTGTGTTTTTGTCATTTTTATTGTATTTTGTTAAATATGTCTGTATAGTATTTATAGTTCTTAATTTTGCCTTTGCAACCAATTAAAAAATATCTTAAATTTTTTATTTGATATTGAATTAAAAAAATTCTGCAAAGAAGAGTGGGCCAAAATTCCTCCACAGCGAAACCATTCTTGGAAACTGCTGCACCATTATTTAAATACGTGTTCAAATATTAATAAGCTTTTATTAATAATAATAGTAAGTTTTATAATGAAGTACATTTTCTTATATGTATTAGTAATAATATTATTATACTATTATAATCAATAGGCCTATATTACGATTTTTTTATATATTATTTATTTTAATTTTAAACTTTAGTAGTTGTGTTTTTGTCATTTTTATTGTATTTTGTTAAATATGTCTGTATAGTATTTATAGTTCTTAATTTTGCCTTTGCAACCAATTAAAAAATATCTTAAATTTTTTATTTGATATTTTTATATTTATCTCAGTCAGTTAATAAATTTTTTTATATTATTTATTTTAATATGAATTGTTTTTTATTTCAGTTAATAAAATACATTTTCTGTATTTAATTTTATATACATTTTATTTCAGGTAATAAAATGTTTTTACATTTATTTTTGTTAATTAATTTTATTTCAATTAGTAAAATAAGTTTTTTTTTTAATACTAATTTTATTTTATTTCAATTTTTTTATGATTTTAGTTTTAGTTATTAACTATAACAACCCTGATTTTAATAAATTCAACAGCACATTAATAGACCAGTATGCAACAAATTCAAAATTACCCTCTTAGAGTCTTTGTCGGTAGTCAAAAGTCTGACTGTGCAAGTCTAGACTATTTTTAGATGCCCATTTTCATTGGCAACCCAACATTACATTATATTACTTGGGTTAATGTAATTTCCCTGCTGAAGTTTTTGAATTGCATCAAGTTAACGCTCTATGTTTGTCTCTTGTATTTTTCCATAGGCGGCGTGACCACGTTTGTGGCTTTGTATGACTACGAGTCACGAACCGCCACTGATTTGTCATTCAGGAAAGGAGAACGACTCCAGATTGTCAATAACACGTAAGAGAGGAAACACAAAAACACTCGCGCAAAAATAACAGGGCTCCAGAGGGCAATAGACACACCCACTGATGCACACACACACACACACACACACACACACACACGCGCGCGTCTCATCTGTCTGACTGCTGAAACCACCCCAAGCACACGTAGCCCCCCCTCTTCCTCTTTGGTAACCATAGGAACTGGCTCCCTCTGAAGGCACTGTATTTGTGGGAGATGACGGCTTTTTGTTCTCTGGATTCCTTTTTTGGTCTTCCTGTGCACAATAAAAGCTCAGCTGCACGTCTTTACCTCCACTTCCCCTCCCAGACCAAAGGGAGCATTTTCCTTCCTTTCTACACCTGCGGTTCACTTCCTTATTCCAGTGCACAACGCTACCGTTAACAGAATAAAAACACTCTCAGAAACATCCTCTGGTTTCAGCACAAAGCAGACCTGGGGATTTGCTAGTATGTGGGTGAATCTCTCGAAACGGAACATGGCCGGGTCATATTTCACCCCCAAAATCAAAAGAAAGAAATGAGAAATGATATTTTGCTGAATGAAAATGAAGCCTGTGTTTAGTAGCATTAAGACTTTTTAAATTGTGACATCATTTTCATGACGATTATGCAGCTGTTCCTCACAAATTGTCATTTTCATTTCATGATACTCTTTTATTCATACTAATTTTGAATATAATCTTGATCTTTGTAACACTGAACAAATTACTGTATTACAGTAAAGAGAATCTTTTAAAAATGATGGGATTTACAAACCAAAAATCAGAAGGAAAACTTCTACACAGTAAGAAGTGAGAAATGTGATCAACTGATATTAAAAGGTCCTGAAAATATATAATTTTTCAAATTAAAAAACACCGTAATATTGTGAAATATTATTGCAATTTAAATGTTTTCTATTTGAATATATATGACATTTTTATTTTTACATTTTGCTTATTGCTTAAATTTTGCTGCTTAATGTTTTTTTTTGGAAATTGCTTATATTTCGTAATATTTAATATTTTTCAGCATTTATTTGAAATCTAATTTTTTAAATTAAATTAAATAATATTATAAATGTCTTTACTGTCACTTTTGAACAATTCATTGTGTCCTTGACAAATAAAAGTATTAATTTATTTAAAAAGAAAAATTTCAATGGCATTGTTTTCATGAAAGAATGACTCTTATGAGTAATTTTGAATAAATTGTGCAGATTATCAGTTTGAAGAAGTCTGATGAATCATTCACTGAATGAATTTAATCCAAATTTGTATATGATTCATTATGATCTAAATTCATTACTTTCAGTCATATTAGACTTGAAGTGAAGCATACTAAATGTCTTTTTTTTAGACATTAAAAGAAGTTACCAAAATAGTGTTGTGGTTAAGACCAATTTTGGGGTGTTTAAACTGTTTGGGTTAAAAAAAAAGCCCTGGATGTTTTCATGAGATTCACCTTTTAAACCACAAGCAATCCCCACCGCTGTCCATAACCCTTCCCAGAAGCCCCTGATAATAAAGTAATCAGCTTTTTAACAAAATCACCAAGCTGCTCCGGCTTATCGCTGGGACCTTCTGAATCGTGTGTCAGCAGCAGAGATAATCAAACGCACATTACAGTAATTGTTTTCCATATTTTTAGTACTCGACTGATGATGAGTTGGATAAATGCTGTGTTTTCAGTGCATCATTGCTGCAGCTGACCTTCAGTCAGCTTTTAAGATTATGTGGGATGTTTGCGTCTGCTTTAATGTCCAAACACTTCACGTCTCCTCTGTGTTTTTCCTCTACACGCTCTCACTCGTTTATGTAGGAGAAAGTTGAACCCCAGGTTGGTAAAGTTGCTCATGCTTTCAGCTTTCAGTGTCCATTTTCTGTGTGTGTTTGTGTATATGCATGTCATTTTCGCCATTTGCTTGTCCACCTGAGATTTGTCCTGACTTTCTAGAGACTGTGGAAGTGGTCCAGAATAGTGTCACACCTCCTCATAACTGGCTCACTCACGACCATTTTACATTTGTCCTTGACGTTGACTTTGTGGATGGTCCTTTGGTGTATTATCCATTGTTCCTTTACATTTGCTTAGGCTACATGCTAATTTCCATGCTATTGTATCTGTACTCCGGGCTGGATTGGTAATCGGGCATACCGGGCATTTTCCCGGTGGGCCGACGCACTTAAGGGGCCGACAGAATGTTTTTTTTGCCGAAAACCATCACGCAGGGACAGCGAGCAGCCAGTGGCCCATTGGTTTGTCTCCTGTATTGACAGTGTAAACATCCAATCACAATGCTCTATAGACGGAGCGATTAAATATTTTGCTCCACCTATATAAAGATCGCATCACCCCAACTTCTTCCTCGTCGGCTTTTCCCACGTTTTCACAGGAGATTTATCAGGAACAGGCTTGCTCTGCGGTGGGTGATGCGGGCCAAAGAGCCAGGCTGGAGGAGAAGAAGAGAGTAGTTGAATTGTTAAAGTGCTTGATAGGGACTCGCAACGGAGGCAGGAATCTAACCTATCCTAATGTGTGTGCGCGGCTGCGCGCCATGAGTGTAGAATGCGTAAACACTTTTTAATAAAACGTAAATTCGTCCCACGCAATTTTTTAGCCAAGTTAAGTCAAGTGTGTTCATAGAGGTTTCCATGGGCCAATGCGAATAAAGCAAGATTTAAATAAAAAAAGACACGATATTGTCGGACCTGACGTTTTATTCTTATCCAAAACAAGATGTGATATGAGTGTGATACATAGGCTACATACATACACTACCAGTCAAAATTTTTTGAACAGTAAGAAAGATCCAATAGAAAGATCCAAAATCAGCATTCATATGAAATAAAAAGCTTTTGTAACATTATACATATACCATTCAAAAGCTTGGAGTCAGTATTTTTTATTTTTTTGGGAAATGATAGAAATTAATACTTTTATTTAGCAAGGATGCTTTAAATTGATCAAAAGTGATGGTAAAGACATTTATAATGTTACAATTTTTTTTTTTTTTTTCAGATCAATGCTATTCTTCTGAACGTTCTATTAATCAAAGAAACCTGAAAAATTCTACTCGGCTGTTTTCAACATAATAATAAATGTTTTTTGAGCAGCAAATCAGAATATTTGAATGATTTCTGAAGGATCATGTGACTGGAGTAATGATGCTAAAAATAATGATGCAGGAATAAATTATTAATAAATTTAAAATATATTCAAATAGAAACAGCTATTTTAAATAGTAAAAATATTTCATTATATTACTGCTTTTGCTGTATTTTGGATCAAATAAATTCAGGCTTGGTGAGCAGAAGAGAATTCTTTAAAAAACATAAAAAATCTTACTGTTCAAAAACTTTTGACTGGTATAGTGTATGTGTGTGTGTATATATATATATATCTCGAAGTGGTGATGGGCCGCCTGGACCAAAAAATGCCAGGGCTGATTTTTTGTCCCAGTCCAGCCCTGTCTGTACTGTATGCTGTGCTAGATTAGAATAAGTGCGCAAGTCATAGAACGATGAAAATAACATCAAATATAAAATTTTCTGTCCTATGTTGACATATTTCCTGTTTAAGCAGGACGTTGTCACAGGAACATGTCCACATGTTCCTTTTTTAAATAGCAAACATATAAAGTCGCAGATTTAGTGGGAGTAAATTAGCATAGAGTTGGCCTAAAAATGAGCAGACTCTAAAACCCACTAAAGTCTGATTTTGATTTCATGGGGTCATAAAGTGAATGAACCTAAAAGCAGCCATGTTAAAATATCATTAGCATTTAGCTAAATTAGCATAGAACAATTGTAAACTAAAGGCTATGTGCTACGTTTTTAGTTTTGCTAACTTGCTAGTTCTCATTCTCGTTCCGGAGATCATTTTATTGGACAAAAATCCATATGCACCTCACAAAATGAAAGATTAAATGCGTATATGGGCTAAAAAAATAGCACATTCTATGCTAGGAGTTCACTATATGAGTTAAGCTAACAGACGTGGACTAAAATCCACAAAAGCTCAGTCAAGTTTTGATTTCATGTGGCCATTTAAAACTATAATGTTCAGAAAGCATTAGCATTTAGCTAAAGTAACATACCGTATTGGCCCGAATATAAGACGACCCTGATTATAAGACGACCCCCCTTTTTCCAGATGTACCTTTTGGAAAAAGGCTTTTTAAAAACCAAATCTTGTTTTTTCTCAGTAAAACACATTTTGTCTTCAATTATTTTCATATTGCATGTTTTTCCTATTTTAATTTTTGTTTTGAAAGTATGGTAAAAACTGGTAAAATGTACCAACAATCACATTTAAAAAATATACACTTTTTGATATACCATAAAAAAAAAAAAAAACAGGTAGCCCATCTGAATTAGGACATTTAGGCTATCCATCTAATAGTAGCCTACCAAAATCTTATTAACGGTAGAAGTTAAATCTTACTGTAGTCTTCAAATCTGGGTACTGTCTTACGTTTTAAAATCACAAAGAGAGTTTAGTCCCATCAGGCTAACGTGACAGTCACGACTCATGCAGCTGTAAGGTTTTCTTATTCTTTTGTTTTTACTCGCCATCTTTACAACATGCATTATATTACGCACACTCGTTTTATGCGTATTTGGCACCACCTATTGTTGTGGGTGTATTATTGACATGTCAAAGTCTAGACCCTGAATATAAGACAACCGCGTTTTTTCAGCTGTATTTCCAAGAAAAAAACAGTGTCTTATATTCGGGTCAATATACGGTATTAAAAATGTAAACTAAAGGCTAATGGGTATGTTTAGCTAACATGCTAGTTGTCATTCTCATTCTAGAGCTCATTTTATTTGACACAAATCTGTATACCCCCCACAAAATGAAAAATGAAATGCCTATGCGTATATTTTTAGCGCGTATGTTAGGCTAGGAGTACACTAGCAGATGATATCAAAGCTAAAAGGTAAATATTCATTCAAGGTTTGATTTCATGTGGTCATATAAATGAATAAACTTCAAAAAAACATTTCAGACAGCGTTAGCATTTAGCAAAGTTAACATAGTACAAAAGCAAGCCAAAGGCTATTGGCTACATTTTCAGTTTAGCTAACTTGCTAGTTGTCATTCCAGAGGACATTCTATTTAGTTGGACAAACATCACCCTCCAGATTAAAAAACTAAATGCTAAAAAGTGTTTATAGCTAATATTATATAGTTATACACTTGCATACTAGCATATGAATGACATCAAAGCTTACAGATTAATAAAAACAAATAAAATTCAGTCAATTATTAATGAACTTAAAAGCAAGATAGCATTATTTAGCATTTAGCTAAATTAACAGGAAAAAATGGTGCTGTTTTGACTCAATTTCGATGTTGTAGTAGGTGCATAATGGTTTTAAAATGTAACATTAAAAGTAATTTAGGTGTATAGATGTTAGGTGTACAGTATTTTCTACATAAATTATTGCTCAATTGTAGCCTCATTGCTTTCTCCTCTCATATACCCTTCTTATCAGAATCACAGTTTTTATGCCTTTTCATACATAATTCATTAACATCTGAATTTTGAATGGTACGCTGTGAATGAATAATATATTTGCATTGTATGAATATGAATATGTGCCCATCTGTGTATATACTGTATGTCATTGTTTTCACTGGTGCGGTTATGTTTTAATTATGTTCAATGACAGCTAGCAGTAGCTCAGAGACCTGGGAGAGGTTTGTGTCGGGTCAGCATGTCGTGGCGATGGATGAAGTCTTGTTACTTTAGCTTAGGGAGTGAGTCACAGTCTGACACCCCACAGCTCACACTAAAACACAACATCTATTATTAAAAACCCATCAAGACTCCCAGAAAATAGAGACCCAGACAGATGACTCACTTTTTGATAAATCAACCAGTTTTGTAGTAAATAATTCACCCAAAAATGAAAAAATCCATCATTCTAAACCCATATGATTTTCTTTCTTTTAAATAACTTAAAAAGAGGTATTTTGATGAATGCTTGTGCTGCTCTTTTACATGTAAAGGGGTCATATGATGCTTTTTTAAAGATCATTATTTGGTGTAACAGAATATGTTGACATGCTTTTGTGTTCAAAAAACACATCATTTTTCAAATACTGTACATTATTGTAGGTCCTCTATGCCCCGCCTCCCTCAAACGCTTAGTTTTCTACAAAGTCCCTCCTTCCGACAAGCGCAGTCTGCTCTGATTGGCCAGCTGACCCAGTGCATTGTGATTGGCCGAACACCGCAAGCACTCGTCGGAAATGTAACGCCCCTTACCATAATCACGAGCTTCATCTTTCAAAATAAATGTAAAGACAGAGCCCCAAAGGGGAACAGAGTCGCGTGACAGACACAGTGATGAAGCTGGTAACATTATGTGTTTGCAGTACACAAGCCACGCTGACTCCACTGTGATGTGATCCTGTGTCTCTCTCTCTCTCTCTCTCTCTCTCTCTCTCTCTCACACACACACACACGATGCGCAAAACTC